CTAATTATTGTTAGGAGGAGAGAGTGGGTAGGTTTAATTTTAAGTGGATACTGCTCGGTACCGTACACTCCCGTCCGTTCGGCCGTACAGCGAGGACTTATTTCAGTAATGTGTGTGTGTGTGTATATTACTTTTTTTTTTCATAACCTACAGTAGTTATAAGCATGTGAACATTTTTAGAATTAATGCAGTTATGAATTCATTGCCATTTTTTGTTAGATTACAACATCTGTATACTTTTTTTGGAAAAAGAATTGATTTTAATAAATTTGAAAAAAATGTGTAACTTTTCTTCTGAAAGACAAAACAGAAACGTATGATTAACAGGTGCATAATTTTTAACCTGTTTTCACATAAATTAGTATGTTTTATGTTTGACAAAATTTACACTTTTTTTTTTTTTATAATAACCAGTGTTGTATTTTGTTGTTCTGTACATGTACAATTGATTGTACTTAGAAACACTGTACATTACTGTGTTTCAGATGAGGAGTTAGAATATACAGAGAGCATTTAAACAAGCTTGATATTTTACAAGGTATTAAGATGTCTTATAATATTGGTCAGATCCACTTAATCTATTTGATAAGGTAACAGTCCATTCAATTTTTTTTAGCTAGGTGCACATTTTACGTGTGTGTTCTTTATCCATTATCTTATGTCCTTGAAACCAAGGTTTCTTGCAAAGAGACTCGTATTTATTCCCAGAAGTAAGATTATTCTTACTTTAAGTGAAGTAAGAAAAAACGGGCAGTATTTTAAGATCAGTTAGTGAGAGTGAACCATGCTTAGTACGGATATTATATCACTTAAAGGCTTACCATTTTTTATTGTGGGACAAGTAATAAAGCAATTCAGAAGAGGACAAAGAGAATTGGGCTTGCCAACTGGTAAGTTTAGGTTATCAGAAAGACTGAGTTATACTACTTAGAACTGTATAAGTGATGCGCACAGGTATGAAAATACTTTTAAGACATTCTTAATACTTTTAAAGTTGAAAGTAATTCCTTGGAAAGTCTTTTTACCTTTAAGTATCCACATGGGATCCATGCGGTTCACAAATATATATAATAATGGCTCCTAATTTAATAAGTCTACAAATATATTTTTTCCTAATTGGAAATAAATGAAGAATTGTATGTTCTTTGAAAAGTTTTAACAAATTTTCCCTATTTACAATGGCTAAAACTAGTATGGGGAAACTTAAGTGAATGTAAAGATTAAGTGAGTATTTAATGGTTAAATTTATTTTCTATAGTCTTATGTTTCACCAACTAAAGAAATAAATGTTTTCTTCAAACCACCACTATATGATCCTAAATTGTAAAAAAAAAAAAAATTGGAT